CAGACATGTGGCACAGTAATGAAAGTCTTCATAGTGAATGGTAAAAAACCTTCAGCTTCCTTCCTTGCTCATCAGGTTTATACTCTACCTCTAACCTAGAATGCTATTTCCAGAAAATTCTATTTCCTGAAGAATCTATCAACCATATAATGGTTAATGTGCTCCACTAAAGTGAGCGAGTAAACCAAGAATGAGGAAGAAATGAGATTCAGGAAAAGGGATCAATGAATGATGGGCACAAAGAAAATTAAGCAAATGAAAAGAGAGGGAATTAGTAACTCAAAACAAATGTACAAGGAAATGTAATCAGAGTACACTATATGGCTCAGCTGGGACTAATATGTACATGGTCATAATAATATAAACCTTGAATATCTATTTAACAAGCAAATAGATATTACTATATTTAGAGGATGTGAGTAGGATAGGGATTTTTGGGGGATGGAGGGAAGAGTGTTACACAAGGGCTCTTGGTAAGTACATTACTATAATATAAGCAGGAGCCCCTGGATGATTCAAATGGTTAAGGATTCAGCTGCTAACCAAAAGATTGGTAGTTGGAGTCCACCTGGAGGCACCTCGGAAGAAAGCCCTGTCCATCTACTTCGGAAAAGTCAGCCATTGAAAACCCTATGTCTACTCTGACACACATGGGGTCCCCATGACTTGGAGTCAACTCAACAGTCAACAGTTTTTGTTTTTAAAATTAATAATGTAAGCACAAGGAAGGGGTTTTTGTTTTGTTCACTGCTGAATTCCTAATGTCAGGCACATAATAAGTCCGCAAATATTTTTTGAATAAATGAAACTTCCTCCCAAGGAATATTTATTTTAGGAAAATCGTAAAGAAAACAAGGCAAATTTAAAATAAGAAAAACGAATTTCACAAGCTATAGTACCTGGAATCTGTTTCTTTCTAAAATTTTAAGAGGACCATTTTTCAAACGTGAAAAGTAACGATATAAAATATTTAAACTGAGCACAAAATATTTAAAAGATGATTTAAAAGTTAAAGCATTCCTGGAAAAATATTCTCTGTAAACTCTTGTTAGTTGGTTTGATTGGGGGATGCCTTAGAAGCTGAAGAGTTCCAGGGAAATCAGGATGCAATTTTCTAAAAAAAGCAAATTATTTTATTGACTTTTCCTCCCATTCACTGGCTAACGTAATACAAGGATGGATTGAGGAAAACCACCTCATTTTGCTTTTCAAATGGGTGGACTCCTAAAGAGAAGCCCTCAGTGCTTTCTCGCACATTACACAGATTCCAGAAAGTTTTCACCAGGACACGGATTCCTTTTATTAAGCAAAAAGAGGAGCGTCTTTGGCTCAACGATTTGCTCTGCCATCTAATGGAACTAAATTGGGTTTACAGCCCAATTCAGCTTGGCCAAAAATTTACTGCTGACAAAGATTCACGTTCTCTTATGGTAATGAACCCATGGAACTATTTTTTCCTCCATCCTCTCGCTCTCTCCCCTTTCACCAAGCATTTGCTATGCTCCTACTATATGCCAGGCACTGTACAAAGACACTAGTGGGGGAAGAAGACTATGTGAAATAATGCTGGCTGCTCAGAGCTAAAATAGCCAGTCCCATCCCGGGCACCCAAGAAGATGACGAGTGCGCGGAACCGGGTATATCTTTGTTAAGGTTGCTAAGCTTCTCTCCTGTCTGGTGAGCGCTCTGCTCAGAGCGCAGGGATCCGAGTCCGGGCGGCCATTATAGAAACCGCCTTGGAGTTGGTCGGACGCAAGCGCTCTCCGCAGGGTTGTGGGCCACCAAGTGCGCGCCCGTGTAGCGGAAGGCACAACCGGGTTTGCTCCCCTCGCGCAGGCAGCATGGTCTGGTCTGTCCCAATCTTTTTGGAAAGCTCTAGGGACACAGACCTGGTCTCTGGAGAGGGTGACGGCTTTCCATCCCTCAGCTTCGAGAGTTTAAAATGATTCCAGGTTGATATTTTTGGCCAAACACCAACCCAGACCTTCATGCACTTCCCGCCTACTCCCAGGGCCCCGCGCACCATTGATTACTTCGTGGAGTATCTTCTCTCCCGTCCCTCCTACCCCCGCCGCTGGCCCAGCTCTTTCTCCTTATCCCCAGAGCCCTATGTAGAGTGATGCTGCCCCAAGCTGCTGGGGCAGGCAACGAGCTCCGCCAGGGCTCCAAGACCCTGGCGGTGGTCGGGGAAGAGGTAGTGTAGAGCGCAAAGGCCTTACCCTGGTAGCCCCTCCCAAAAAGCCTTTCAGCCCGGCAGGTCCCTAAATCCCGCCAGAATCAGGAAAACGTGCACTGAAATCTCCCTTTGGATTCATAGGGCATTGGGAGGACAGGTCCCCAAGAAAGGTGGTGTCCAGGTTCCGGTTGTACCCAAAGCCGAGTCCGACAACGGTGGCGCAGAGATCTTATTGTATGGAAAAATTCCTTAGCAGCGGATTTAGTGAGGAATTTCAAGTGTCCTAGGAGTGGTAGCGGCATGAGGGAGCCCTGGTGGCTCAGTGGTTAAGAGTTTGGCTGCCAACCAAAAGGTTGGTAGTTCGAATCTACGAACCACTCCTTGGAAACCTTGACCAACAGGGTTGCCATGAGTCGGAATTGACTCGATGGCAATGGGCTTTTTTTGTTGTTGCTTTTTAGGAGTCCTAGGAATCGAGTGGACGGCAACTTTTTTCTTTTTAAGAGCCCTCCTGTCCTAGTCACGTATTGGTGTAACCCTGTCTTCCCGAGGGAGTAGGCGACTCTGGGCTATCTTGCCACCGTGCACTCTGCACGCCAGTGTTGTAGGCTCTGGACAGTCGCCGGAGTCTGCGGTCTGGATTCGTTGAGAGTTGCATGTGGTTTCAATTGCCCGAGTGCCGGCCGCCATCCCACCCTCTGGCCCCGTAGCAGATTCTGGATCTAATGGTTCCCAGGGTCCTGCCACAGAGAGTAAAAACCGGAGGGCCTAGACAGACATTCCCTGAATTCCTTTCTGTCTTGCAGAAGCATTGAGTAGCAGCCTGGGGGATCCCGAGAGGGCCCTGGTTTCGGCCCCTTCCCGGCATCCCCAAGCGAGACTTCAAGAGTGCGCTACCGGAGGCCAAGAGGCGCGGGCGAACGCAGTTACGGGCGCAGCTGCGGAGCCGCCAAACCGCGCAGAGCAAATCTGGAGGAGCCGGGGTGGGCGGTGCTTCCTCTCTTCCTCCCCACCTGCTCCTACTCTCCGCCGGTTCCGCGCCCTTTTGGCCAGAGTTTGCGTGTTTTCTCCACGTCGGGTTAGCTGCGGGCGGCCGCAGCGCCGAGTCTTAGAACCTAGCTTTCTATAGGAAAAAAGGGAGAAGCTGTATCAGTGACTGTGAATATGTGTGTGTGTGTGTGTGTGTGTATTCGCGCGCGCGTATGCTGTGAGTTGGCGCCAGAGTGTGTGCCCCTGTGTGTGTAAAGCGTGCCTGTCTTGGGGAGCAGAAACACGCGAGGTTGCTTTTGCGTATGGACATGGATGATTTGGGTTCCTGTGGGAGAGTCTTTTTTGCCAGTGTCAGGAGCGGGTTATCCAATAGGCAACATAAGCACGGTGCTTACCTTGCTTACCATAGCATCTGTAGTGAATAGTCTGATGTGGTGAAACCCATGTGAAATTGTTCACTACAGGTTAGTAAGTAAGCACAAGTAAACCCGTGCTTACCTTGCTTACTGGGCCATCCACCCCTGTCAGGGACTGTAAATTTGAAAAGAGGCTTTGATTCTGTACGAAAGTGCTGTGGGGTTGGGAGAGAAACAGATGTAAGCCATACCTGTAAGCAGAATCTTTGATGTGGTGGAAAAAAATGTGGAATTGTTCACTGAAGATGATCTGGTAAACAAGGTAAACACTGTGCTTACCTTACCTATTGGATAATCCGCCCCTGGCCAGTGGCTGATAAGGGCTCATAGGATTGATCTTGTGCTGGCTCTCTGCGGCAGTGTCTATGTGTGTGCGAAAAGTCAGTGTGGCGGGGGTTTCAGGTATGGGAGTACGTGACTGCCGCCCGGCGGGATGGAGGCGCGAATGCGTGCACCTACCGGTCTGTACCTAGGAGCCGAGCGCGTATGAAGCCCTGCAGGATGCCCCTTGGGTCTGCAGCACCCGCTCTCCTCCGCGCGTGGGCGCTGGACCCCCGTGCGCGCTCAGCTCTCCCGCGCTTCAGGGAAGTGGGGCGGGTGTGTGAAAAGAGATAGACACCCGGGCACAGGCCGTCCCAGCCCTGCAGCTTGGAAACAGGCGGCTAGAGTTTTAGGGCAGCTGTGTAAACCAACTCTGGTGCTGCAGTCGAGGTTTGGAGATTAGGGTGGGGGATGCCGCACCCTCTGTGCAGGCAGTGCCAGTGTAGCCTCCTCCCCAGTCCTCTCCCCGTTTCCACCAGTCCCAGAGACGTGTGTCAGAGACTGCTCGGCTGCCAGACTGGAAGCCAAACAACCTCCTCAGAGGCCGGTGTGCGCCAGGGCACTGTGGGCTGGGGCTATCTCAGGAACATCCAAGGTGGTCCCAAAAGACTAATCTTTTAACCCCCACCCCCACCACCGTGGGCTATTTCAGCTTCGATCCCTTTAAAACCCTGCACAACCTCCCTGGGGTCCAGGCTGTTAGGCCCGGGTTCGGCACTGGGGTGGCCAGAGGGGAGTGCGAGGTCGGAGTTGAGGCGTCAAGGGGAGGCGAGAGAAGCTCAGGCCCCGCATGTTGGTGACGCCAAACTCTCCCCCAACTTGCCCCCACTTCCTGGACGTCTAAGGCTCTTCGCTCTCTCTAGCCCCAGTCCCTCCACCTCCTCAAGCAATGACCTCAATGAAAACGACAGCGGGAGCGGACCGTCCCCTCCCTAGTGAGCGGGTGCCGGAAGCAAGAGCAATGACGCAATTGGAGCTCGGTCGGTCCTCTGATTGGCTAGTCCTGGCCACTTTGGATTGGCTGCGTGGGCTTGTGGGGTCCCCCCTCCCGCTATCATTAGAATAAGAACCGGGGGCTCTACCCGGTAGGCACCCACAGCAGGCGTTGTGCCCATCCCGGGTGGACCGGCCTCTCTCTCTGCCTCGAAACGCGGGTCGCCAGGTAAGGAACTTCCCATCCCGCTCACTCTAATAACCCGCCTCTTGATGAGGGCATTCAGTTTACTCTGTCTGCCTGCTTCTCCTTTGCCTCTCCACTGCCATCTCGGGCTGACCTACAGCAGGGTGGTCCCAGCCACCCTCTCTGCGGGGCTCGGGAAAAGGCGGGCGGTTGGGAGCTGTCTCCCACATTGTCTCCTAAAGAGCTCCAGTGAACCCCGAGCATCTCCAGGGCTCTGCCTGTGAGCTGGAAGCCCGTCGGCGCGCAGGATCCTGCCGGAGTTTGGCCAAGAAGTCCCCTGCGTCGTCTGCATCCTCAGGCATCATTTTTGGTTGCCGGGACGGCGGAGCTCTGAGCTTGCCTCAGAGGCACCTCCAGCCCGCGGGCATTCCTAGGACATCGGACCCGAACCTGGGGCAGTGTCGTCCGCGGACCAGGGCGGTGAGCTCGCCTCGCAGTGCGGGCGTCCAACAGCACCTGCTGGCCAATAAGCGCTCGGGCAGAGCGCCGGCACGTTAAATTAAACTTTCCCCAGATCCAAACCCGCAGAGTGAGAGATTAGCGCTCCTTTCCAATCTACGCTTTTCGCCCTCTCTTCCCATGCGTTGGCTGGAAGCCCAGCAGAGGGGAAAGGGTCCTAAATTTTTCTGTCCAGGAGAAGACAGGCTTGAGCGTGCAGAAGGTTGGATCTGGGTTGGTCTCTGCACAGATCAGGGCAAAAGGTGGGGAGTACATGCGCTTGTGTGTGTCTGTGGCTTTCTCCCTGGACTTCCACAGAGCAGAACCAGAATAGCCCTCCCCTCCTCCTTCGCCAGCACACCTGTTTCTGTTCCAGCAAGCCATTCACTCAATGTAACTTTAGAGCGTCACAGCAGCCCATTCCGCAGATGAACAAACAGAGGCATGGGGAAGTGAGGTAACCTGCCTGAGGTCACGCGGCAGTTGATGCAGAGGCAGGACTAGAACCTCGGTCTGCGGGCTCGAAGGTAGTGGTTGGTCTCAGTGCAGTGGTAACCTCATTCTGTTTTTACAGAGAGGCGCCATGGGCTTCGGGAAGTTCTCCCCCTTCCTCGCTCTTAGCATCTTGGTCCTGTGGCAAGCAGGCAACCTCCAGGCAGCGCCATTCAGGTGAGACAGCCCTCTCAGGAACGCACGCCCCTCCCACTGTACCTGGAATTAGACAGTTCCACTCTGAGGTCACAGTGGCACTTGGCTCCCAGTGAATCAGTGTCCTGGGATGGACATTGGCCTCAGGACCCGTCCCCCTGGGAGTCAGAGCGGCCACATGCTTAAAGGAGGGGGCAGGCAAGGGTCTCAGGGCCTGCATTGGGTTTGCTTCCTCTCCCCAGGTCTGCCTTAGAGAACAGCCCAGACCCGGCTACACTCAATGAGGAGGAAGCGCGCCTCCTGCTGGCTGCACTAGTGAAGGACTTTGTGCAGATGAAGGCCAGTGAGCTGGAGCAGGAGACTGAGGATTCCAGGTAAGTCTCCAGGCCCCGCCCAGCACAGGGCCTCCCCTCCCTCCTGGTATACACAGAAAGACAAATCCCAAGAGGTAGGAGAGAACACACCTGGCCAGGAGCCCTCCAGGAGGTCACCAGACCCAGCTGTTCTCAGGCTCCACTGAAGATAAATGTCCAGCTGCAGCTGGAGGGACTGTGGTTAGACTACATTAAAAGTTCTACTTCCAAAGACTGTTAGGAAGTGAATTGGGAAAGTGTGGAATCACTTACTCTGGGAATTGGTCTGGCCGTATTGAGAAGACCTCCCAGCACTGGATGAGTTAGGACTGGTAAGTGTGAGGCCCTGTATATCTCAGGAGCTTTTAGAAATGTGGCCCCACTTGATTAACCTGCATGTTATTCTTTCACACCTGCAAGGAGCCTTCACTCCACATTTGCAAGGTAAAGGCAAAGCCTTGCAGAGGGTGGGGCCACATAGAGCAGTGTCTGAGGTAGGTCTGGGGTCTTTAGATATGAAGGACCTGCCTGCTCTCTGTGGAGCATCTATGGAGATATGCATGTTGTCACGGGGCCAGAGAGAGCACCTTCCTCACTCCACCTCCCGGTACACCCTGAGCTTGGAGCAGAGACCACCCCCTGACCTGGCCTCAGAACTGCCCTGAAGAGACATGCATTGCACCTTTATCCACCCTGAGAATCCCCTCTGCAGAGCATGAAGGACTGACCAGCATGTGGAATGTGGGGAAAGGTCACCCTTTCCCCACCCTAGCCCTTCCTCACACTGCCCTGGCCCGGTCTACCTCTGAATCTCCTGAGGGAGGATGTATGAGCTGCCCACCTGCCTGCCCCTCCTGCCCCTGCTTGAGGTGCCCCTCCCTGGTCTAACCTTCCGCGTGACTGCCCACGGGGCAGAGCATGGTGCATGGTACTGTCTGGCATGTCTTTTCCCTGCAGCCTGGACAGCCTCAGAACTAAGCGGTGCAGTAGTCTGAGTACCTGCATGCTGGGCACATACTCGCAGGACCTGAACAAGTTTCATACGTTTTCTGGCATCAACTTCGGGGCTGGAACACCTGGCAAGAAAAGAGGCAGATATGGCCGGCGGTTTTGAGAGTGACAGCTCCTCCTACTTATGCCAACTGAACTCCTCCCACTCCTTCCTGATTTCGTTTCTTACTTCCTCTTATGAATTTGATGCATGCGTATCCCTCTCTAATTGCTATTCAAGCTATATTTGGTAGTTTTGCTTATGACAGAGAATGTCGGGGACCTCACGATGGAAGGAGAAAGAGCAGGGCTCATGGACCTGGTTAAAATCAAAGAGAATGAGGGTAGTTTCTTGAGACCCTGGAGGATTTCGTGGCATAGCCCTCTATTTCCTGCTTCTGAATGTATTAAATAAGCACCTCCCTCATATCTCATGTGGTGAATAAACTATTTTTCGAAAAGGACCTATGCTGTGTTGGTCATTGCTTTGGCCCACATTCAAGACTTGGGGGCCCAGGGCCTATGCTTAGAATAAGTAGCTTTAGCCTCAAGGTAGCTGGGCCCAGGGCTTGGTCGGTGGTCCCTATGAAACAGCTCAAGCATCAAGAACAGTATGCTAAGGAGCAGGTAAGCACCTCTGGGAGAGGGTGCTGCAAACCCTGTTATCTAAGCTTCTTCCAGGTAAGACTTTAGGGGATTTTCATTTCCCTTGGAAGTTTTGTTGGTGCTTGTGGCTGGGGCACGGCCTCTGTATACTCCCTGGGTGTTTTGGGATGGGGCTGGGCCTTTGTTGACCACTCATTCCTGGTCCCAAAGGGACTGTGTGTAAGGGGCATTTCCACTCTGGCAAGTGTGAAGCCAGGGAGCGGACCACAGGGTTTCAGCATGTGCCCATACTAGGAAATGGGTTTTCTGCCATAGCCTTTGGGAAGGCGTCTAGCAAAGGCTGCCAGGCAATTTCCCCTAACAGTTTTGATAATTGCATTTAGGAGAAACACTTACTGTTAAGTGGTATGTCAAAGAACTGCGTTCCTTTATGTTGATCGCATGGGGCAGGTTCCTTCCCACCAGCCTCTCACTTGACAGGCCTTCCCTTCTTTCTCTGCTTGCAAATCAGTGTCACCGCCCAGAAGAGAGCCTGCAACACTGCCACCTGTGTGACCCACCGGCTGGCAGGCTGGCTGAGCAGATCAGGGGGCATGGTGAAGAGCAACTTTGTGCCCACTGACGTGGGATCCAAGGCCTTTGGCCGGCGCCGCAGGGACCTTCAGGCCTGAGCAGCTGAGGGACTCAAGGAAGAAGGTGACTTCCCTTATATTCTGGGGGAAGGGAGGGGAAGGGCTTTGAAGGTTAAGATCCACATTTTGAAGCCCTCTGGACTTGGTAGGTTCTTTAGTTCCCTTTTCTCCAATTACATTCTTCCTCCTAAGGTAGAATTCCTTCTAGAACTAAGCTTTAAATCAGAATATTAGGAGATGCTGCAGAGATGCAGTGTCCTCTTTCTGAGAAGAGAAATGAAAAAATGCTTGCTGGATTCAGAAAGGGAGAGGCTTGCAAACCTTAACAGGGGCCACTCCTTATTAATGAGTGCAGGCTCAGAAAGTGTTCAACCCTTGATTAGTGTTCACAGATTCAGGCCAGAGGGCTGTAATCATTATATTATATATATGTATATATAATATAATTACATGTATATGAGATATATGAAGGATATATACATATATATAACCCATTGCCATCAAGTTGATTCTGACTCATAGCGACCCTATAGGACAGAGTAGAACTGCCCCATAGGGTTTCCAAGGAGTGGCTGATAGACTTGAAGTGCTGACTTTTTGGTTAACAGCCATAGCTCTCAACCACTGCACCATCAGGGTCCCTATATCCCTTTATACATATATATGTATATATGTATATATATATGTATCTATATATGTATATATCTATATATGTATCTATGTATGTATCTATATATGTATATATATGTATCTATATATGTATATATATCTCTATCTATATATGTATATATATATATGTATCTATATATATATATAAAGGATGCTGATGGCACAGTGGCAGTTCAAACCCACCAGCCGCTCCACAGGAGAAAGATGTGGCAGTCTGCTTCCATGAAGATCTACAGTCTTGAAAACTCTATTTATTTACTACGACTACTAATAACAGTTGAACTGGTTTTATTTTCATTTACCATGCAAAGCCTGCTTATATCTCATATCTATAATTTATTAATACTGTTTAAAGAAGCACTTCTGAGAATTAGTGTCATTTTCAGTAGTAATTGTGATTATTCCACCATTCTTCTCTTCCCTCCTCCTCTGCCTCCTCCTCTTCTTCTTTTTTGGTCCTAGGTACCATGAAGCTGAACTCACCACTTCTATTAATTTTGCTGACAACCGCTTGGTGAGAAAGCCCCATGGAAGATACACATTTTCATCCTAATTAGATACTGAAAAAAAGCACCTTTGTCATTTGAAAGGAATGAAACTGAATGCAAAATAGGCGATTTCCATATATGTTGTGCATCGTATTTATATTTGATTCTCTGTCCAGTAAATGTTACAGCATCTCTCAATGGCTTATCTGGTGGCAAGATTTGGTTCTTTGAGAGACATCCTGTTGATCTTGGCAGCTCTGCCAAACCTTAGGGGGACATGAAATCACTGCCTCTTGTGGCCTCTGGGGACAAGTAGTAATGGTGATGCTGTGCCTTGTTGTCTAAGAACATGATTGTATAATTTGTTTAAGGAAATGTCAATACTGTGCCATTTGTGAACTTCATCAAAATTAAAAACATATTTTGAATACACTTGGTTCAAGTCCCTGGTGGTTCATTTCAACTTTTTTTTCCTATGTAGTAGTAAGATAATAATAATTTATTGAGCGGACCAGATGATTTTCTAAGTAGGTGCTTTATGCCTGTTAATTCATTTAATCTTTACAACACTGTGGGGTAGACACCATTGTTATTTCCACTTAACGTCTGAGGAAACTGAGACATGGAGAAGTGAAGTCCTAAGTCACACTGATAGGCAGTGGCAGAGTGAGTACTTCAACCAAGGTGTCTGTGTCCAGAGCTTACATTTGAAACCACTACACTACATGCTTCTCAACAGAGGCTCTTGATACTTTCCAGACTCCTGTGAGCCATTCTTTGACCTAGCTGCCTCATGTGCTAGCCCCTCAGATTTGGGAGACACATGGAAAATTTTTAAACATTCAAACAATCTCGTATTTATGTAATATAATGAACCCCATATGCCCATTACTTGACTTCTACAATGATCAATTTATGGTCAATGTTATTACATTTATATCCTAGCCACCATCCCTCCCCATACTTATCCCTCCCCATACATCAATACATCCATAAATATTTCACCACATGTTTCTAAATGAGAAAAGCTCTTTTAACATAACAAAAATATCTAAAATACATGGGCAATTTCTTAATTCTTTTATATAATCACACATCCAGTCATAATTCCCCAATTGTCTTACATAAAATCAGAGTTCAAATGAGGTCCTCACATTGCTATTAGCTGATATCTTTTAAGGTTCTTCTAATTTAGAGGTTTCCCCCCCAACCTTTCTCCCCCTTGCAATTTATTTGTTGGACAGACTAGGTTTTTTTGTCCAATAGCGTTTTCCACATTCTGGATTCTGATGATTGCATCGCTGTGGTGAGGTTTAACATGTTCCTCTATCTTCTGTGTTCCTGTGAATTGGCAGTAAGTGAGGGGGAAGAGAGGTAATGGAGAGGACAGATGATGTAGGGCTTTGTAGGGCATAGGAAAGACTTTGGCTTTCTATCAGTCAAGTTCTAGTCAGGAAAACAGAAGCCACATCAGTAATTTTAACAGAAAGAATTTAATATAAGAAATTGGCTCAATAGTTATTAGAGTACTGAAAAGGCAAAAGACAACAAGAGGTAGCCCAGAGATAGAAACTGTAGGAAGCAGCTACCACCTGCAGGGCTAGGGCAACAAAGGAAACAGGTGGGGTGATTACAATCTAGAAACTTGCATAAAGCTTTTCAGACCATTGACAGGGGTCAGCTGATGCCAGTATCTTTGAAGGGATGCAACAAGGCTAGTCTAGGAGTATGGAAAAACAAAACAAAACCAACTTCCCTGCCAGAGTAAAGAAACATTGTAGGTGACATTGACAGAAACAGAAACCAGAATTGGAAGGAGTAAGTCTCTTCTCCTTCCTCTTGCCTTCTTGTTTCCTTTTTACACCCCTAATAGGCAGAGCCTAATGGAAGCAGTGGAGCCCTGGTGGTGAAGTGGTTAAGAGTTTGGCTGTTAACCAAAAGGTTGGCAGTTCAAATCCACCAGCTGCTCTTTAGAAACTCTATGGGGCAATTCTACTCTGTCCCATAGGGTCGCTTGCTATGAGTTGGAACTGACTAGATGGTACCTAACAACAATAATAACTACAACAATGGGGAGCAGCTGGTAAAGGAAAATGGGGTTTGCAGAGCCCCAGCCTATGTCTTTTTTTTTTAAGAATTTAATTTTAAATTTACTTAGTAAAATTTATTCTTTTTGATGTCCAGTCCTATGAGTTTTGACAAATACCACCAACACATTTAAAATACAAAATGGTTCTATCACTTTCCAAAATTCCCTCATGCTTTCCCTTTGCAGTCAATTGCTCCCCCAGCCCTCAACCACTGGCAATGACTGTTCTGTTTTCTGTTTCTATAAAACGTATTTTTGGATGCACTTGGTTCAAGTCTCTGGCAGTATGTTTTCCAGAATATCATATAAGTGGAATCAGTATGTAACCTTTTGATCCTGGCTTCTGTTACTTAGCATAATGCATTTGAGATTTATTCATGTTGGGTATATCAATAATTTGTTTTTTCTATTGCTGAGTAGTATTACATTGTATCATACGCCACCGTTGGTTTATCCATTCACCCGCTGAAGGACTCTTGGGTCGTTTCCAATTTTTGGCATTTATGAATAGAATTACTATGAACTTTCATGTACAGGTTTTTATGTGAAGATAGGTGTAGTGAGCTGAATGGTGGCCCTCAAAAAGATACGTTTATGTTCTAATACCTGTAATTTGTGAAAGTTACCTTATTTGGAAAAAGGCTCTTTGCAGTTGTAATTAAACCAAGGATTATAAAATGAGATTATCCTGGATAATCTGGGTGGGCCCTAAATCCAATGACAAGTATCCTTATAAGAGATACACAGAGAAGAAGACAGACACATATCAGAAGTTGATGTGACTACAGAAGCAGAGATTGGAGTGATGTGGCCACAAGCCAAGGAAGCTGGCAACCACTAGAAGTTAGAAGAGCCTCTAAAGCCTCTTTAGGATGCACAGCCCTGCTGACACCTTGACTTCAGACTTCAGACCTCCAGAATGGTGAGAGAATACATTTCTGTTGTTTTAAGCCACCAAGTTTGCGGTAATTTTTTACAGCAGCCCTAGGAAATGAATACAATAAATTTTCATTTCTTTTGGGTAAATACCTTGGAGTGGGATTCTTAGGTCATATGACAAGTGTATATTTACATTTATAAGAAATTGCCAAACTGTTTGGCAAACTGGCTGTATCATTGTGCACTCCCACCAACCATGTATAAGAGTCCTCATTACTCCACATCCTTGTCAACACTTAATATTGTCAGTTTTTTAAAAAAATCTTAGCCATTCTAATGGGTGTGTAGAGTATCTCATTATGGTTTTCATTTGCATTTCCTAGTGACTTTTTCCCCCATGCATATGTCAGTAGACCAATCATAGGGTCTACCATGCCAGGAATGACAATTTGAAGAGGAATGGCATGCATTCATCGTCACAAAGAACATTTCAAGATCTACCTAAAGTACAACGCTGTTAGTGATAGGATAATATCCATATGCCTAAAAGGAAGACCAGTTAATACAACTATTATTCAAATTCATGCACCAACCACTAAGGCCAAAGATGAAGAAATTGAAGATTTTTACCAACTTCTGCAGTCTGAAATTGAACTAACATGCAATCAGGATGCATTGATAACTACTGGTGATTGGAATGCGGAAGTTGGAAACAAAGAAGAAGGATCGGTAGCTGGAAAATATGGCCTTGGTGACAGAAGCAATGCCGGAGGTCGAATGAGAGAATTTTGCAAAACTAATGACTTCTTCATTGCAAATACCTTTTTTCAACAACATAAAGGGCAACTATACACATGGACCTCACCAAATGGAATACAAAGGAATCAAATCAAATACAACTATGGAAAGAGACGATGAAAAAGCTCAACAATATCAGTCAGA